TTGAGAATTCTAAACCGAAATTGCATTATCAACTCCATTACGGACACGTAGAATTCTTATTCACAAGCGCGGGTTTTTCTCGAAGCTCCGGCGTATGACGACCAAATAATGTCGCGAAGCGGTATCTTAACTTTAAATTAATAAACCTAAGAATACATCACTGCGAGTGGACTGTAAAATTTAACCTTTATTCGGCGGTTTGAACTTTCGAACACAACACAGCACAAAGTAAAACGACAGAGTTACAATGATCGGTTTTAAGAATGCAAGAACAAAATGCGAACTACGCATACAATCTGCGCATTGCGAAATAATATCTAACAGACAGGCAGAGAGCTCTGGTGGCTGAAACAGCAAATAATAAATAAATTGGTCTATACATAAAACTCCATATTGCGAAAAACAATATATCTTCATAAATTAACAGTTCTATAGGGATAAGGAATGTAGGACATGGGCACTATCCCTTTGCCATAATGGTTAATCAGTATAGAATCACGTCCACTATAATCAAGAGAACCCCTCAGATGTTAACACAGTCACACAGTCAGCTCACTTCTTGGAAGCCCAGCGCCGAGTGCATGCTCCACGCTGTTCTTATACCCCAAGTAGCCACAGCAGTGTTAATATTTTGCAGAGTGTAACAGTCTGTACAAGATTACAAGGTTCCGCATATTAACAAAGATTAGAGTTCTGTAGTCGGTTTTATAACAGGGTTCGTACACATTTCTGCACATGGAAATTAAGTACTTTTAAGGACCATTACTGAAAAAAAATTAAGGACCTATGAGCAAATAGCAAATTAATAAATTCAATTAAAATATATTATAATAAATAATTTACTTATTTTTTTAACAATATTGTTAAAAGTCCCTATTAAAATCACAATCTAATAAAATTTCACACTTTAAAATACATGCAATTTATGCCACTGATTCTTAAACGATATTAGGATAATTATACATTAAAAGCTACAAAACATTTATGTCTTGTAGCAACAACACTCAACAAAATATTTATGCATCTTTTTAATTTGAAGCCTTCCCAGACATTTTGGCTTAATTTATATCAATTTTCTTCTCTTTAAACATCTTTCCAATTAAAAATCTGTGTGAATACACAAACCAATATTCTGACTAGTTTCTGCGTACACTATCTCCTAAGTTGTCAACCTCTCCACAATGTACCTATGAGGGTTTAATTGATCTGGTAAAAGTTAAATAGGCCTAAATCCCCCCGACAGACGTGAAGAATATTATCGCTATGTCTAAAAGTATTTACAATATCAGACAAAAGTTTAAATAAGCTTCTTATTTAAAAGGAACGTAGACATTTTCTAATGCTGACAAAATCAATTACAGCTCACGGTGACGTAATTAAACAAGAACAGTCTAATTCAAACTAAAAATGTGGACTAGCGGTCAAAGATTACACAATTTAATTTGGCTCAGTAACTCTATCATATGAGGAAATAGAAATGGGAAATTATAGTAAAGGCTCATATCATAAACAATTGGGTAATTAACATAATAATAACTGTACATATTTTTGAAGAATAATTTTCTTTACGTATTCAGTTTCTTTCTTCAACACATTTCCTTTTCATTTTAGAATTTTTGGATTTAATTAAGGATTTCTGTTATTCTAAAAAACACTAAATGCATTTAGAATTTATACAAAAAGCGGCTAATTTTATTTCTTTAGTAATATGAACATTCAGAAGAAATATGAAATATATATGGTAAAGGCAGGTTACAGAGCTGATGTGGCAAAATTTTTAGAATTTGGTGACACACCGAACAACAAAATCTAGAAATGGCAAAACTTTTATAATTTAGAGCAGACATTCGAAGCAGAAATTAGAAGGGCACTAGGCAGCAGAATTTAGGATCCACAGAGATTGCATCAGGTGGGAAAATGTGTACCAGCTCTGTGTATGATGCATTAAGACATATTAGATGAATCTTTTAAATTGTAAGTTTTCAATTTATTTATTAATAAAAATATCTCTATCTATAATGCCTGCCCATGTGATAAGATTAGAAGTGTTTTTGATATTTTCCATGCTTGTGTCTAGTGAAAAGTAGAGAAAATAAAGGCAAAATAAACATGTTAAGATTCTAGAATCAGAAGTAAAACATTCAAATATTATGTTTTCATTGTTCTTCCAGACATACTCAAAAAAAGTAAGAAATTCGTTGCAAACTTTCTGTAAAATACAACCATTATATGTTGATACCATGGAGACATTTTTCATTTTGTCACATATTTCTCGAATCGTGGGTCCATAAATCTTGCCTTCAAATCCTTCTAAACTTTCCAAGCTGCAATGTCTAAAATCCTAAAGAAAAATTATACCTACCAATTCTGCAACAGCAAAAAGCCAGAAATATTTTGGAAAAAAAAAAGGGAGGGAAAAATTGTAAAATTAATTTTATAGAGAAAACTGGTGCATATTCTAAGAATTTTGAATATTCTGAGACAATCACATGGGAAAAACCCTTTACTATGAAAAATTAAAAAGAATACATTTTAAAATTATTACATAGCTAATTTTGCTTTTGCTAAGAGCTGTTTCGTAAAAAATTGTGCTTTATAGCATTATACCTCATTTATTTTTCTGATTAAAAATATTGTATAAGTTGCCAAAATGAAACTTTATAATATGACAGCAAAAAATAATAATGTTTTATTTTAATCTTATTTTTAAATATTTTTTAAAATAATTCAATATATTACATTATTTTAATGAAATTTATCAATGATACGATGTTTAAAAAAATTGTCAAAAAAAATCTCGGAATTAAAAATTTTCTATAGAAGCTGATCTTAAAATCGCCAAACTGTTGATAAGTCGCGAAATTTAGAACCATTCAATAAAAGAATTCACATCCCCAAAGCGAAAAGTTGTTTAAGAGCTCTTTATTAGAAAAATTGAATTTCGAAATGCTTATGTTTCACTTCTTGCTTAGAAATTCAAGTATTCCATCATTTATATTAGAAATAGAGACAAATTATAAACCATGAACCCATTCAAAAGATAACCATATGTGTCTGTGAATCGCCAAAAATATTCCTCCAAAATGCTAATTCACACTCGAAATGGCAGTCGTAAAAACAAACAGAAATTTCAGATGATTAAAATTAAGGACCTTCTACCAATTCTGGCGAAAATTAAGGACTTTTAAGGACCAAAAATCGATTCAAAAAAATCTAAGGACTTTTAAGGACTCTTAAGGACTGTACGAACCCTGTATAATATAATACTCATGATTCTAGTAACAGTTCCCAAAAATAGTTCAAGTAATGTTCAGCACACTATATATGCACACCTAAGTTCATCATACATATGACAATAATTCTGGTAACAGTTAAAAAAAAAAAAAATACAGTTCTAAGTAACGTTTAACATACGACAGTGTGCACAGTGAATATGCACACCATGGTGCATAAGACATTACATTCTTATAATTCTTATAATATTAATAGAGTGGGTATATATAAATTTATATACTTTTGGTGCGGCCGTTTACAACCAAACAGGGAAGGGCATAACTACATCTTATAGCAGTCCTATATACAAAATTTCAATGTTCTGAGGCTACTCATTTTCAAGTTATACAAAATGCATGCGTACATATGTATGTATACAGACGGGTATGTACATATTGTTGCATTTTTCCTTTCTTCATATTCATATGGGGTTCGTAGATTTGGAGTGAATAACGACAACACTTGATGAAGCATCGAAACACACTTTATTTACCAATATTAAACTGATAGCTCCAAAATCACTTTCACAGTCGTCGAACTGTTATAAACATGCTGACACATTCAGCGACACAACCTTCAGACTGTCAGGCAATAACAGTAGAGACAGTTTCACTACAAAGCACCAGAGTACAGATCCCAACTCTGCTTGGTTGTTCTCGGAACTCCATGTACTCTCGACACTACAACTCGCGATGCACTCGACGACACACAAGAGTATAGCTCTCTACTCAGCACAGTCTAAGACAAAACTCGACAATGCACTAATTCACAATACACTAAAAAGACTCTCTCGATGCACTCGGCACTAGAATTCGAGACACTCACTCAATGACTGACTATCAGCTCGCTAGACGAGGCACACACTCTCGCACTCTATGCAAGGCACTCTCTAACTGACTGCAGGCCAGCAGGGTTTATATAGCTTTCGGCTTGAGTTTGAGAACATTCTGGGCTAAACCGGATAATTCGTTCCAGAAGGTTCTCCAACTGTCCATGGCATATCGGCAATTTTTCGCCAAATATGGCAACCCTGCCTTCCTTTCTATTTTATGACAACCCTAAAACTGCTTTGCGGGGAAGCCATCTTACCGCGCCTGTACATTTTGTAACAATATGCATGTGCACGCATGTATGTACTACAGACATCATGAAAAGAATCTCTTCTGAATCCATTTTAAATCCTTTTTACAACTAGTTTTGGGAAAAAGAGTCCTTTACTCTGTTCTTACATGCAGATAGTGGTGTAGCTAGGGTAGGGCAAGGAGGGACACCTGTCCCCGGGCGCAGCATCCAAGAGCGCCAAATTGATGTTACGAAATTCTAGAATGAAACATTTTTCATTCTTGGCACATTGAAAGGTGCGAAAGATTTTCAGTTGTTCCTATGTGCTGAAAATCCTAGCTACGCCTCTGTATGCAGATGTCATGCAAAAACATCGTTAAATTGCATTCGATAGCAGTCAAAATGGATATTTTCATTGAAATATGATGTCCGAAAATGTTCGTGATTACAATACTTACTCCATTATGTACAAGGAAGTAAAAAGAAATGAACTGCTAAGAATATCACTGCAATAAAAATATACGGTGAGCTGAAAATCTAATAAATGCATCTAATTTGAAGGAATGAAACTATTCTTAATTTGATTTAAACTGAGATTTTTATAACAAACAACAAATAAAAATTTAGAAACAATTTCACCATAGAGAAACAAATTAATTTTATACTCTGGCTTAAAGTTTTCATCTTCTTCATGAAGTTCAGGCAATTTAGTGAGTCCGATTTCGTGTCTCAGTGAATCAACAAGCTCTTTAAGAGGCTTGAATTCATGATGCAGCTGCTTTGCATTCTCCAAGTGCTTGTTGCGATCTTCCTCAGACTGCTTTATAACATTTTCCATCTAAATAAGATGAATATAAAGCCTTTCAAAATTAAACATATGTTTAGTTTAAAAACTAAATTATAATAGATATATATTGAAATTTATTTTTTAATTACTTAAATTAATTTTGTACTACATATTTTTTAATTATTTAAATAATAGTTCAAGATAAGATCTCAAAGAGAAGTATATTGCACTAAAATTTGCTATTTTATAGAAAACTTTATCAGGTGTAGAAAAATTTCAAGACAAAATTTGGATATGCTCCAATTTAAGATATTTTATTTCCACATTTTTTTTAATGTATTAGTTATGAAGACATTAAATCAACTGCATGAAATTTTACAACTAAGAAAATATGAATAAAGATTGAAGATGTTAAACTTAGCTTTCGGAAAATTATGAACACTAATACTAAAACAAGTAATATAAATGTGAAATCATGAAACTTAAAAGATAATGTACAACAATCAATGTGTAACTGATCCAGGAATTTTTTTTTGAATAACGAGATGCATAAACTTTATAACTTTATTACTATATCAAATTCTATACTAAAAAATATTTTGGAAAGAATCCTTTAAAATTTTATTAATAAACGTAAATGGAATTAACCTCTCGAAGCCGGCTGGTACAGCAGTTGTACAAGGAGAATGACTTTCTCAGACGCCGGCATCGGTACAACTGTCGTACCATCCATGCCCTCCCCATTTTAGAGAATCGCCTATCTGTAGATCTTTGGGTGGTCCATTGTCGCTGCTCAGAGTAGCCGCTGGCTACGCATTATTTCCCTCTTCTTATCAGTTTAGCTACATTTTGGCAAAAACCGCAGGTTTCGTCTCGCGCCAATATACTTGAAAATTAAATAGAGGCCATCTCTTTCTCAATCTGTCTCATAATTTTAATGCTATTTTTTTTAGTACTGACTTTTGCTATGATTAAAACGTCAGCGATTTTGCACGCTCTTTAAGCTTACCATATTTAATGTTCTTTAATCATAACAAATAAGAATAGATTAATATTTTAGATTTAATGCCCTTCTAGAAAATAGGTAAAAACCGTTTTTATCGTTTACTTCCTTTTCATACTTATGAATAATAAGATTTTATTTTGACATTGTTTTGTGGAGTGCATAAAACCCTTAAGAACTGTCAACTCTTTCAAAGTGCTTCTATTATGCAGGCAATTTTGTCTGATTTATCAGGAGATAAATAAGAGACAATTGTATGCATAATAGTTTTTCTGATTTTCATTCATTCAGTGATTGCTTTCAATGATTTTCATTGATTGTAAATTAAATAAAATCAATTTATCTTTACACCCTCTTTTAGGATGAGATCTGCCAAAAAATATTTAAATATCAGTAAAGCTCACGTTACTTCTAAACTGAATCAAAACATCAGTTAAATGTTATAAAATTTTGGCCAGTTTTATTTGCTGAAATTCTTATACTCTTCAAGAGATAGAGAGAATTCAGACAAGTTGATAAAAAAATATCTTTAAAAAAGTTGTTATTTTGTCTGTAATAAGGTGTATGTCAACTTACTACTAAATGTATGAAAATTAGGATTGGATTACGGAAAAGCACGCGAACGCTATCTGCTTAAGGGAATGGATGCTTTCGTGTAAACCTTTTTAAGAGAAAATTGCTCGCATTTACATTCCTGGTGGAAAACTCCACATGTAATCAACCCGTTCTTCGGTATTGATTGGATTAATTTGTTCGCTTACTGAATTACATCAAAGCACCCAACGATTACCTGTATAAGGGGAGTTATGTCTTCGCGGAGGACTTTCTAAGAGAAGCTGGCTTGCATTTACGTTACACAAAAACCATGACTCCAACTATTTATCCGGGATTCAAATCCAAGCGAGCTATAAGTGTTCAGCCACCTTTACCGCTTTACTGAAGAGCAGGTAAAAATATTGATAAAGGAAAAGTATTGAATTAACCGGTTTAATTTACTAACCTATATTTCTCAATCGACAGTACATAAATTACGCATATGAGGGGGATTATTTGTGAATAAATAAACTGTATTGCACTTTTATCCACTATGTCATATTACAATGGAATTATTGCATTTCAAAGTTATTTCTCATGAATTAATTTTGCTCTTCATGATTTTTGATATTTTCAAAGAGAAAATTCCACACTTTAAATAAAAAAAATACACGAGAAGATACTTTATGCACAATTTGGCGTAAACGGTTTTCTTAATTTTGCTTTGAAAATATTGCAGGGTAATCGTTTTCATTACTGGAAGAAATATAAAAAACAAATTTACTACATGGTATCAACACCCAATATTTCCTTATTCTTTTGAAAACGTGAAAGTTTACTCTTTCTAAAATAAATTAGGAAATATGTGCAAATAGAATATTCGTTGAAAATGAAATAGACTTCAACTTTTGGATATAACGATAGTTTTAGACGAAATTTCTACCTATGGAAAGAAATTGACGTATAATTAATTCTTCATGAACATTTAAAACTGTTCTCAAAATTCTTTTGATGATTGCATGTATAAGTCACGAATTTTTTTCTCGGCTAACATAAACAAAAGCCAATTTTACAAAGAAAAATTCTCGTTAAAGATATACCTTCTTTGCCTGATAGTCCAATGTAATATTTGTTAAAATTAATTATTAAACGCAACCAATGTATCTCGGATTTTGATTTTTATATTATAATAACAAAATTATCGAAAAAAAAGCAGATTTAAATCTCTGTTATTGTTATGTAAAGCTTTATTTGCTTTATTATTGCTGTAAGTTCATCTCAAAATCTATTTGTATTGAATCTCATTCTAATCATCTAATGGTAATAAATATTATTATTATTATTTCATTAAATTAGTCATTACCATTATTTTATTAATGAAAATATGTTATTAAAAATCGCATTCCGGCCTGCAGACTTACAGATCTAGTCTGTATTTACTATATTTTGTTAAATTTTGTTCTCGCTTGCTAATTTCTAATACGAAAATACGCGAATATAAATGAAGAGTGAAAACAAAGTTAAAAAATTCACAAATTATTTACGAGATTGATTAGAAATAGTGAATGAAATATAAACATTGCATACATTTTGTTCTAAATAAAGTGTGCACTGGATATGCATCCAGTACTGCACATTTATTTATGCACTATTTATTTAGAATTTTGCTTTCATTTAAATATGAAAGCAAAATAATCATCGAAAAAATTGCAAATCTAGCAACTCCTCTACTATGGGACGTAGGCGTCCGACAAACATGTAAATTTTACTTCATCCATGGAGGGGAACTGACGACTTTTCTCATTAGGAAAATGTCAAAGAGGGGGCAAAACTGTTTCGGATCGCGCCGGTCTAAAGGCTATATTATGAGAATTTCGGCCCGGTTTTAGAAGGTTAAAAAAAGAGAAAATATGCATTTCAATAGACTTTGCTATATCTTTTGTAGCAAAGCTGAAATATGTGATTCAAAAACTAATTTTATAACTGATACATAATCAAGTTAAATCATTATTTGATTTTTGAGTAAACTGGCCAAAAAATATTTTGAATGCTTTCATTCTGTATAAAAAAAAGCAAAGAAAGGTTGAAAGTAAAAAAAAAAGAGAGAGAGAGAGAGTTACCTTAAAAAAAATTAAAAAAAACTATTAAATTTATAGCATTGAAATTATTTTAAAGTCACTACTAGATTTCCGAGTTTTTATGCATCATGGTGGCAGAAAATATATAAAACAAAACTTACAATATTTATGTCAGCATGAATTTGACGAAGTTCTTCAACATGAGCCATTTTCTCTTGCAGCAATGATTCCATTTCTTGTCTGTATTCAATCAAACACTTTTCCTCTCCTTCAGTTGCCTCAACTTCTTGTCTCAAACGAGATTTTAGCTTTTCTAAATGAATTGTTCGAGTCCTACATTAATAAATCATAAGTTATATCACATATATGCACTGTTTCATAAAAATGTCAGCTCATCAAGCAGATGTAAATAAAATAATTACAATATTCAAAAAAGAAATATAGTCATTGATTAAAATTAATAAAAAATAAAATATATAACAAATATGCACTGCTGCATGAAAATATCTACTTAATGGGCAGGTACAAATGACTAAAAAATTCTCTAGAGGTATTTTTTCACAAAAAGTTTTGCAGTCACTGTGTGTGCAAAGTGACATCTGAACATCTGAAAATATTAATAAGATAAACTTTTATGAATTAAAATATAAAATTCCATCCATACATGCAAAATGAGTGATACTTCCTTCTTAAAGCAGTTGCCTCAGGTTAGTCACCAAAACTAAGAGATCACTCCCCAGAATAGCAAACTTAATTGATGGACATTCAATGTGCAACATGTTTAATTTCCAGACTGTTTGGATTATGAAGTCGTTCATGTGATATTATTAATTCAATATATTTCCTTTCCTAAAACCTTTAACATTTTTAATTTATATAATCAGTTGAAAAAAAAACAGTTTCCCCCCCCCCCAAAATTTAAAACCAGCAACGTATTTGATTTTATGCTCTCTTTAGACCATGTGATATCACTCCTCTGCTACTTTTCCCCTTCTAAAATGTTGACCATTTTTACCATACTATCAAGTGGAAAATAAATTTTTTGTTATTTTTCCACTTTAAATTGTTGTCCCTATTTAACTTAGCATCAACTAGAAAAGAAGCAGAGATTTTTTTTTTCTTCAACAGCACAGAATTTTGTATACTGATGAAAGTACAAAACCGGCTACCAATTTGTTCAAAGGTGAAGTATTAGGAGATGCAAGTGAAAAACTGCAGAGGGAGGGGAGTCTTTGTGCTGATAATTTACTTCATGGTTCCAGGATTTCTTTCCTTACTGCTTTGCACTTCACATATGTTCAGGCTGAAATACTAACTTTCATCAGATTGTGCAATACAGAGGGGTGAAAATACCAATACTTTATACTATAATAACAGCAGCTACCAAATTATAGCCTCTATAAAATATAAATAAACATTATTTTTTCCATTCACTGCAGTTTTTCCTTTTTTGAAGTTTGCAATAACATTTTTCTGCTTTTTGCCAAATTAGTTTTATTGTCACCAAAGCACTTGCAGTGGCAGATTTAAAAAGGAACTATTGAATCAACAAATAGACATACCTGAAATTTCCTTTCTCTTTTTCTCTAGGAGCTTTCAAAGCAGCACAGTGACTTCCACTTTGAAAACTGGGAGCTTTTACATTATGCACTTGATACTTCCCCCCCCCCACTTGTGACCAGAATTTTTTTACAATTACCACAAATTTTACAATTAACCACCAAATGTGTGGCAGATACATAATGGAAAAGTACAGAAAACTGAAAGTAAGTTCGTTCCAACTAATAAAATCTCAAGTTTTTTTTTTTTTAAAACAAATGTAAGAATATGCAAATTATGTGAACGTAGATGCATAAAAAATTAGTAAAATAATGCAAAAAATTTATACAATATTTATGAATTATTAATAATTAGGAAATTTTTTAATTCTTTTGCGAAATGCATGTTAAGAAACTATTTTTTTCAACTTAATGTTTTGATTACGTAAAAATAATTTACTTTAATAGACATTTCTTTATTTTTTTATCAAGCAGTACATAAATTTAATAATAGTATATTACAGTTTTAGACAAATTATATTTTTTACAAAAATGAAAGGTTTACAAACAGAAAGAAGGATTTATAAAAAATTTCCATCAGATCAAAGGAAACTGCCTTGTGAAAAAAAATTAAGAAATCATGCTCTATGTAGGGTAGGATATTTCTCTCTTCTGTAAAAGAAAATAAAAAGAAGAGAAAAGGCCTTGAAATTCATAGTTTTATTCAAGATCTACACCAAACAAAAGCTTTTTTTTTTTTTTTTTTCCCTTAAAATCTAAAATCTAAAACATTGCTAGGATAAGTTGTTACACCTTTGTGACCAAAACATTGTATTTCTCTTATAAGTAAAAAATTCAGAATAAAGACAGCTGTCAAACAATCAAAAGAAAAAGATGTCACTTTTTTTACAAAAGAATAAAGCAAATAACTTATCCCAAATGCAAAGATTGTGGAGAGAGAACTCTGTGCAGAATATTTTGACAAATACCCTTCTTTATTGCAGCTGAAAGGCAATTTTCTTATACTTCTGTCCGTTTTCTTATGAAAATTTTCCATTCTTTTTGCGAATGTACTTATGATAAGTAAAGTTTTTGTTGTTTAATAAATTATGCTATATTATGCCAATAAAAACCTGATTTAAAATTTCATAAATTATCTTAATTCAATAGTAATTAAGATAGGGGGAGATAAAAGCAACAGAAAATCATCAAATGCTGTCATCAATGGCATTGACACATATCAGAGCTAACATTTTACTATTAGGGACAAAAATTGCACTAATTATACAAGAATGTTACTGTAAAAGAAATTTGTACATAACACAAACAAAACCTGACTGGCTACTGGCATTAATCACTTATAGTTGATGCAGCAGCGAACATGTAAACTAAAGCAATACACTTTTAAAAAACAAAAGTTTCAATAAAAGTGTAAAATTCTAGTGCTGGAAAATTACGTTATATAATTGTAAGAAATAACTTGAAAGGTTTTCCTATACAATAAAAAACGGTTCTATTTAATGTTGATAAAGAAAATTCTATTTAACCTTCAAAATTATAGCATTGCAAATTTAGGCAGCTTGTGCTGATACTTGGTGCAACATTGGTTCTTTGATGTGTTACTTTAGTTATAATCATAACGAATATTTACTGAGGGAAAGAAAATAAAGGTTAGAGTAGAGAGAAGTATAATCAGGAAGTTGCTGTTTCATTTATCGCCAAGTGATAGTTTACTTATGGTAGCCTGAGTAGTTTAATGTTATAGAAACCCTATTATGATGTAATCGGTCGCAAGATTGCGGTGAATTTGTAAGGGCTCATCGCGTGTGTTGTTTAGGAAGTACATTGCTTGTTTTCTGGTTTAGACAGTAGAATGGCTGAATGTGGTATGGTAAATTTGAAGTTTCTGTACGATTTGGAAAGAAATGGGAAAAAAGCATTACTTGACTGGTGTGTAAATGAAGGTTTACTTAGTAGCCATTATTAGATGTCTTGTTTGTAGGAAGGATATGCGTATGATCGAATGTCTGAAACGCGTACGGTCGAACGTCGCTACGAAGGATATTTTTTACTCTATTTTGTGAATTTACGTGGTGACGCCAGTACACAGATTCTAGATCAGATAATTTTAGGAAGTTTTTGGATGCGGCTAATCTTTGGAATATGGTAACAGGCAGTTTGGCGACATTTTGGTAGGCGATAAAGGTTACTACCTAGGACTTTGGCAATAATGTGAGAAGTACACAGTTCCAAATATGGATTATTTTGTCTGAGAGAAATGAGAGATCATGATATATGTCATGTGACATATATGGAAGAATTACAGTTCTTTTAATTGGAAAAGGGGGGAAATCTGGAAAACTATCTGCAGTACTTAAGCATTTTGTATTTAGCTTCATTCTGTGTTGTGTGAAACAGTGTTGATTAATTTTTGGATCCAATGGCCCTGTGTAAAGTGAATTCGAAATGGGTATTTAGTGGAATTGAAAGGGGTAGTAATAAGTGTTTTTTTAAGGTTGTGCGAGATAGAAGTAAAGATTGCTTTTTAAGTTTTATTAAACAGTATATTCTACCGGGTACAATAATAATAATATCTGATTGCTGGAAGTCATATGTCTGTTTGGAGGATGAAGGTTTTCAACATCTTGCTATTAACCATAAGTATCATTTTAAAGATCCTGAAACAGCCGCACATAAGAATACGATTGAGATTCTGAAGAAGATTAGGTAAGTTAGTATTTTTAATCATTTGAGGATAGTAGTTTTATGCATTGTTCTAAATACAAGGAATAAATAAATTAATATGCTATTATTGGAAAATTGTTATTAGCAATGAATTAGTTTAAAGTAATTAAGATTTTAAGCTAATTTTTATTAATGTATGTGTTTATTTATATTTTAAGTAGTGTTTTTTAATTTAATTATATTTTAATTAAATGATAGCGATTTTGTAAATTATATGTTTATACCATTTTGGAATACATTTCAGTAGAAGTAAACGTGCATGGCAATAATTTAAATATTTGACACTAAGTATTTGCAACGATTTTTAATGTTTGCGTTATAAATTCGCAGGTGACGTTTATAATAGATAATTTAGAGGGAAAAGTTTTTGGATATTTTAGTTATTTTATACGTGCAAATGTTCATCCTTTGAAAGGGTATATACTTTTTCGCGATCAGGTAATTTCATATATGTCTTTTTTACCGACTTTAAAGATTCACAAAATTTTCCTGCATTTTCGTGCACATTTTTCTAATTTATGAGAAAAAAGCAGAGTACATGGATAAAGTCAAGAGTGTGCGCAATGCCATTTTTATGCAATTCTGGGATGTTTTTTGAAGTAAAAATAGGTCGACGTGTACATGGTTACTGTGTATGTGCCATTCTGAAAATGCAGCGAGGAGTTTGCGATTCTGCACTTTCTCCCAATTTTGCAGTTAATATTCGCCATGATTAAGCACTTTTGTTCTATAAAATTTCTAGCATAAGCGTAATTCGGCTTATATTTTAATTTAGTGTTTTTTAATTTAATTATATCTTAATTAAATGATAGCTTGGAAAGGGTATATACTTTTTCGCAATAAGGTAATTTCATATATGTCCTTTTTATGGACTTTAAAGATTCACAAAATTTTCCTGCATTTTCATACAAATTTTTCTAATTTATCAGAAAATGTAGTGTACATGGATAAAGTCAAGAGTGTGCGCAATGCCATTTTTGTGCAATTCTGGGATGTTTTTTTAAGTGAAAATAGATCGATGTGTAAATGGTTACTGTGCATGTGCCATTCTTAAAAACACGGCAAGGAGTTTGCGATTCTGCACTTTCTTTTAATTTAATTATATTTTAATTAAATGATAGTTATTTTGTGAATTATATATTTGTAGCATTTTGGAATATGTTTCAGTAGAAGTAAACGTGCTTGGAAATAATTTAAATATTTGGCACTAAGTATTTGCAACCATTTTTAATGTTTGCGTCATAAATTCGCAGGTGACGTTTATAATAGATAATTTAGAGGAAAAAGTTTTTGAATATTTTATTTACTTTATACGTGCAAATGTTCATCCTTCGAAAGGGTATATACTTTTTTGCGATCATGTAATTTCATATATGTCCTTTTTACCGACTTTAAAGATTCACAAAATTTTCCTGCATTTTCGTGCAAATTTTTCTAATTTATGAGAAAAAAGCAGTGTACATGGATAATGTCAAGAGTGTGCGCAATGTGATTTTTGTGCAATTCTGGGATGTTTTTTTAAGTAAATATAGGTCGACGTGTACATAGTTACTGTGTAAGTGCCATTCTGAAAAACGCGGCAAGAAGTTTGCGATTCTGCACTTTCTCCCAATTGTGCAGTTAATATTCGTCATGATTAAGCACTTTTGTTCCATAAAATTTCTAGCATAAGTGTAATTCGGCTAGCAGATTGTTGGGAAAAATGTTGAGTAAATAAAAAAAAAGAAACCTGTCCTTACTTCGTGAATACAAAATGGTGGCGAAAAAAAAAAGTAGAAGGTTGCTGTTGCAGGGTTGGTTGCCAAATTTTCGCCAAAAATCGCCAAGTTACCATAATTCAAAGATAACCTTGGATACTATTAAGGAATTTTCTTTGACCGAAGACCTGTTAATTCGTAAATAAGGTAAGTGGATATTTCCTTTGTGTAGTGCAAAGATGAATATCCTTTTTTATGTTATTTCATTGTTTAATTTAAATGCAGTTTATTGAGATTATATATTTTTTTATTGGCTGCTCCTTTGACTTTTTAAGTGAGTATAAGTCGATGTGTACATGGATAAACTCAAGGAAGTGCGCAATGCCAAGTTTTTGCAATTCTGGGATTTTTTTTAAGTGAAAATAGGTCGATGTGTACATGGATACCAAGTTTATGCAATTCTTTGTCTTGTTATTTTGGCTTTGTGTAGCAGTGATTTCTGGTGCCAAAATCACCGCTTCAATTGTCAATTTTCGCCAAGAGATACCTGTAAATATATTTTTACCAAAATAAAAAATGATCAACATTAACTGTGGTGAATCTTTACATTATGGTAACTTGGCGATTTTTTGGCGAAAACTTTGGCAACCAACCCTGCTACAGCAACCTGATAATTTTGTTTTGGACACCATTTTGTTTTCATGAAGTAAAGGCATGTTTTTTTTTTACTCAACATTTTTTTCCAACAATCTGCTAGCCGAATTACGCTTGTGCTAGAACTTTTATGGAACAAAAGAGCTTAATCATGATGAAGATTAGGTGCAAAATTGGGAAAAAGTGCAGAATCGCCCACTGCTTGCCGCATTTTTAAGAATGGCATATACGGTATCATCCATGTACACGTCGTCCTATTTTCACTTAAAAAAAATCCCAGAATTGCACAAAAATGGCATTGCGCACACTCTTGACTTCCATGTATACTGCTAAAGTCCTAGCTAGTAACCTTTATCGCCTTACCAAAATGTCGCCAAACTACCTGTTACCATATTCAAAAGATTAGCCATGAACAATAATTGGGCTAGAAGAAAAAAAAATACTTAAGGGGTTTTAATTTACGGTACTATTCGGTTTCGAGGGCCGTAAAAAATCGCCAAACTGTTGTTGATGCCAATGCTGCCAAAAATAATTGCGGCAACCCTAATAATTGCAGCAAGAACGGAAGTATAATAGTAAATAACTATTTAAGATTGATGTTTTAATCTAGATGAAAGGTTAATTTCATATAATACATTTTTATTATTATAATTTATATGAAAAAGGCTAAACGTGACTGAATGGAAGCATAAGAGTAAATAACTATTTCAGATCATTATTATAATTTATATAAAAACTGAAAACTGAAAAATTTATATAAAAACATAACTGAATGGATGCCTGCATCGCTATTTCACTACCGACTTATCGCTAAAGCATAATTTCATCTCGTTGGTTGTTCAAACGTAATTTTCTATAATGAATGATGCCTTTTCTTTGAAAATATTCTCGGTACAGTGCAGAATCACTCACTTATTTGTTTGCCGCTTTTTCCAATCATAAAAACAATTGGATTTTTGTCAATTTTATTTTACTTTTTAAGTGAAAATAGGTCGATGTGTACATAGATAAAGCCAAGGGTGTGCGCACTGCTATTTTTGTGCAATTCTGGGATTTTTTTTTTAAGTGAAAATAGGTCGATGTGTACATGGATACCGAGTCTGTGCAATTTTTTTACTTTTATTTTCAAGTTGGCGATTTTGAGAAACGCTTCGAAGCAGAAGTGGGTGATTCTGCACTTTACCCAAAATTCTATTGGCGACTTTTCGTCATGGTCAATTTGTAAATTGTTAAATCCATAGGATATTAAAAAAGGATTTAAAAATTAAACTAGTATTTCCATGTCGTCTTAAGAAATATAGAACTACATAAACTTACGCAATCTGAAATCAGCGCGTACGCTAGATTTGGCGGGGCGCGTTTGCTAGATTTGGCGCTTTTGCCCATACATTTTCGCTGCAATTTTTTACGGTCCTCAAAACGGAATAGTACCTAATTTACTTATTTATAAATATTATGGCAATCAAACACAGACAAATAAAAGAGAAAAGCTCTAAATAAATCACTTGTTACAAATGCATATTACTCAATAAATGCTGTTTGAATGTAAAAGAATGATAAAATTTCCAGTTCTTATTAGCGTGTAGTTCTTACTAATGTATAGAATAATCAACTAAACTAACAGATGATATGGAATTTATTAACTGAAAATAGATAGGGTTTAATTCTAGTATCCGGTACACACGGGATTTGGCTACTTTATGATGAGCAGTAAAAACGCGACATATACGATGAGTAGTAAACGGGTCATTCAAAGAATATATATAGTTATACATAGTATATACTATGTATATACACACATAGTATATAGTGTATATATAGACGTTCTTTGGGTCATGTTTGGTGTTGGCGATAATTTTCAAAATCGCGCCAAGGCTGCACCGTATACTAGGATTTTACAGAAAATAGTGAGAAATAATTAAGCAATAATAATAGAATGGCTAAAAACGACATAAAAACTTGCAATAACAAAAAAAAAAAAAATTTAATAAAATTATTTACATAAGAATAAGCGATTTTGAACGTCCATAAATATGCTCAACAAAAAGGTTAAAAAGAAAATTATTCAGGAATTCTTAATACAGTGGAAGGATTAAGGAAGTTTCAGAAGCCAAAAGCATCATGTTAATGAAGTGTAAAATACACGAATTTAATACATGAATTTTAACACCTAGCAAAATTTGTCTTTTATTTTGGCTAGTATGGCTTGGGTAATTTACATGTTTGATCATATGCTACTCGCATATATTAATAATTAACACATAGTTTACCTTATTTCTTTCAAACATTCCAATTTACCCATTATCGTAGCATCCTCCTCCATTTTCATCTTAGTTTAGAAGTGGTTTAATAACCGCAACGTAAACAAATCAATACCGGAGATAGACAAACAAAAGAATTAAATGTCAGACAACTGAATGAAGTCGAGAAGTTTATTGAGTAACTCACTGAATAACAAAAGATGGCTTTTCTCTTGCAGTGAAGGTTTTTTTTTTTTTTTTTTTTTTTTTTTGAGGGGGGGGGGAAGTTCATCTATCTATGTTCTTATAAGTATTATTTTATAAAAAGATTTTAAAAATGTATGAAATTTTATACTTTAGTAGAATATTTATTTCCCCATATTAGTACACTGGCAGAAAAAATTAAAGTTCCTTGGATCATTATTATCCGCGATTCAATTCACTTATAGGTGGCGCTTTCACGCATTAGTATGGCGATTAAAATCGGTATTTTGATTTGTGATCACTAGCGTCTACATCCCAAAACGGCAGCCTATGAGAGAGGCGATTCTATTATTTTCATCGGGGAGTAGGAGAGTTAGAATGGTTTTCTGAGGAATGCAACGGCAGTGGACTATATGTTTGCTTACATTTGGAAGTTCAAAAAATTGCTAAAGTGGATTGTCTTAGTTTCTACGGTTACTTACAGGAAAATATTAGGCAGTTTTTTTCGGTTTGCTGATAGAGGGCAAGTAGACAATTTTCCTTTATAATCCGCTTTTATCTATTTAAACTTCAGAAGATTTAAGATGAAGAGAATATATTTAACACAACAGAACGCAATCTTAAGACTTGAAAATCTTTTAAAAGACAACAGCAAATTTTTAAACATTACTGTAAAAATTATCTTCTCTTTTAATTATAATAAATAATGAGATAATGCATGGATGAATTGTTAATTATATGATAACTATGCATTTATAAAAAGTTTTTAGTGATGAACTATAAATAATATTTTTAATTATCAATGTATTCTTTTTTAAAAGATTTACAAGTCTTAAGCTTGGTTCTGTTGTGTTAAATATATTCACTTGATCTTAAATCTTCTGAAGTTTAAATAGATAAACACGGATTTATAAAGGTAAATTATCTATTTGCCATCTATCAGCAAACCAAAAAAACTGCCTAATATTTCCCTGAAAGTAACCGCAGAAACTAAGGCAATCCACCTTTGCAATTTTCTGAACTTCCTAATGTAAGCAAACATCGCGCACTGCCGCTGTCGTTCCTCAGAAAACCATTCTAAATTCAATACTCCCCGATGAAAATAATAGAATCGCCTCTCTCATAGGCTGCCGTTTTGGGATGTAGACGCTAGTATTTGTGATCTGACTTCGTACAACATTCCGAGGTGGGACAGCGTTCGAGATAGACGTCTTATCGCTTCGCTCTCCGTTTCCTTGCTTTGCTACCACCCCCGCTACTGTACCGAGTTCATCGACCTCGCCTCACGGGCTCTGGGTTGTTTCTTCTTCGGCTTTCGCCTGCCTTAACTCCACTGCTGCACCCTTCGCTGGATAAAACAGGTCGTATTTTATTCTTTCTTCTGATTTTCTTTATTTACCGTGCTGATAAGGGTACCTTCGGGTACGGCCTCTAGTTAGGCCTTTTTCCAACTTATTTACCTCACATGATTAATCAATATGACACAACAAACATAACTGTAACTAATAATAACATAAACATGGAAAACTCACCTCCAAACTCAGAAAATCCTCACATGAGACATCTCAATGATGAACCCAACGTTCTCCAAATATTAAGTCACAAAATTACTTTATCCAATGACGTCGAAACTACCAGATCCTTGGTGGAAGATATCCAAGATATCCGTAACGACCCAAATGTGATTTTGTCCGCTAGTGATCAAAAAGAACTAAACTTTCTCCTTGTTAAAAGCCAATTAATCAACTGCGTATGCAGGAAAACGAGATGGCCAATGCAAAAATAAACGAATTACAAACCTCTAACGAAAAGCTCGCTAAACAATTTGAAGAGATTAAAAACTTCTGCGACATACTTCAATCCACTAGTGGTTTCAAAGAACAAAGAAAAAGAAAATTGCGCCATAGACAAACG